GCAGGCTTTGCTGGGCAGCAGATGTGTGATTACATGGACCATTCCACCAGCAACGTTGTGGGACCAAGCATCCCGGTGCAGCAGGCACTGCCCATCCATCCTGAGCCACTGCAGCCCGTCCTGCTCCAGTGCCTGGGGCTGCCAGAGCTGCCCTGCCTATGTGGCATTGCTGCACTGGCCCAGCAAGTTGAGTCCAGATCTTCAGTGTCCAACATCCCAACTAAAGAGATTCGTTTCCGAGAAATTCAAGCCTTTGAGGCTTTTTCAAATATCTCTTTGCGAGGGAATAATTTGTTTTAAAGAGGTAATTGCTGTTATTTTTGATTTTCACCAAAAGGATTTTCTTAAACCAGGCAAAGAAATCTGAAATGAGTTTGCCGTATTGCATCTCAGTAAGTGCTATAGCCATTGGCCATCTAAGGAAAAACATTCTGTCAGATAATCATGGCCATTTTTGCATTTTAAGGGAACAAATGTCATATCTAAGAAACACATTTTATTCAGAGCTTAATTATAATTTATAGTACATTGCACAGCATTTGTTTTCTGTTCATCATGTTATTGCTCTTCTGTCTTTCCCCTAAATTTATGCATTAAATCGTGTGTGTGTGTGTCTGTATGCCTGTATCTGTGTATATATGTACACATATGCAATATAATACAAAGTGGTGTAGTGGGGACAACAGACGGCTTGTGTGTGATGTATTATTGGCATTTTTCTTTCAAATTACCATTTTCTTGCTGCTTTGGGAGAAAGCCATGATTTTGCTGTGATTAGTACACTTTTAACAATCTGGAATAAATTCCTGATCTTATTCATGTGACTAGCTCAATGCCCATTTTTACATTTTAGTGCAAACCCCTACATATGTGCCTGCAATACCACAAAAATAAGATGTTTCTTTGTGGAAATTTTATAGAATTTGGATGCCGATCAAATATTTTTAGAAGTGGAGAATTAATGCGGCTTGACCATGTAAATGATTTCTTTAATGAAAAAGACTTTAGTATTCATCACTCTTTCTCTCTCTCGTTTGTGTATTCCTTTGTGCTAATCTTAAATAATGGATCCATATCAAAGTTAATAAATTAGTAACTATTAGTAGTGTTTGGATTACATTTAGTAACCCAGTGCCACTTCATTGACATTGACTTTTTATGTGTTCCAATAATACATTTTGAGTTTTAAAGATTAGACAAAGCAAAATACGGTTTGGCATGTACTTTAATCTTTAACAACTCTTGGGCAATGGCTTTGTTTAAATCCAAGGCCCTTACTTGAGGTAAACTTTCATTTAAGTGGCCCTAAACCCCAGACTGAGATCCATGTCTTTCTCAAAACCTGCAGTTTCTGACTGTTCAGCTGATGCACCATGTTGGGCTGCATCAGTCATGCCATGTTATGAAACCTAACGCGATGTGACTGATGCAGCTTGACATGAAGTGTCACAAAGCAACATATCACATCACAAACTTGAAAGAGAAGAAAACAAACTTAGCTTTTTTTTTTTCCCCTCAAAGCCTAAATTAATGAAGCAGCATATATTTTTAAAAAGGTGGACTAGTTTCAAACACTGAGGGATTTTTCTTAATAAGGGCCTGCAGAAAACTTCTTCATCCTGGCCAGAAGGTACTCTTATCCACACTCCTTGTGCTCCCTAAAATTCAGTCAAAACTAGAGAAGATGATGAGCCTGGGTCACCTCAGCGCTGCCGCCCCTCCTGGGTCTGATCCTGGGAGGTTTAGATCACTTTTAGAGGAGAGGCTTCAGCAGGTGCTGGAAGTGATCACCCCTCCTGGGAAAGGGTGATCCATACGTGCTAAAAGTGTTCTTTGACTCCAGCCATCATTGTTATGATTTTAGCTAATTTTGATTATTAATTTCTGCTCTTCCACTTCCTTAGACTGTCAGTTTCCATCCAGAGGATTGCAAAGTCTTTCCACATGCTCAACTACAGCCTTCATAGAACACAGCTCCACAACAGGATTATTTCAGCTGCAAACAATACATTGTCCTCTAACCTGATTTTTGATCAGAGAAAGATGCATACCATAGTTTGCCCCCCAAGTCTACCCACTGTCATTCTAATTCTTTTTCTACAATTGCAATGCATATCACATCATCTCCTGAACTATCAGGAAGACTCCTTTCTTCTTTTCTTCTTCTTTTATTTATATATAATTTTTTTTTCTAGAGGGCTTTCATATAATTTTATTGGGAGATATATAGTGGGTAAAATGCATATGAACTATAGCTTGCTAAGAAAGGACCTACCAACCACTGCTAGATAAAGCATTATAAATTTATTGCCAACTTATCTGGGAAGGGTTATTTTAAGAGCCTGCTGCCCACAAGTTTTGGAGCTAAAATTAATGAATGGGGATACCTAAAAGAAATGGGAATTTTCCTTCACCCCTTAGTAACAAGCAAATTGCAGATATTGTTATCTTTGCAAGCAAGAATAATCTCTACTTTTTGTACTACTTCTGCTGTAAACAATGTACCGCTTGCTTTCCTATGACCCTCACTCTGTATACATATTTATATATTATTCATATCGGATTAAAAATGAATGTGCTCTTTACCACAGTTGTACTGCATAGTGACAATACAAATTAACTTATTGTGTACTTACTTTTCACAAGGCAGTGATGTGAAATTTTGATGGCCTGAAAAAGTAAGTCGTGGGAGAAGCAATGCAGAACTGAATCCTTGTAGGTGCACTTTATATTGTCTGATTTATTAAAGTGCCTTGAATTAATAAATGACATTCTCTGCATGGAAATTTGAACACGGGTTTGAACTTGGTTCAGTGGTGGGCAAAAAGAGTTTGCTTTTAGTCTGGTGCATGTGAGGTGGCTAGCTCCAGCCACACTTTCTGCATTCCTTGCTTAGAATTTGTTCCTTGCAGGAAGGAATTAGGATGGCTGTTCATTAAGAGCTGCTTGTGGGTAAAGCATTAAGAGCTGGTTGGTGAGATCATAGCTTCACGGAGTGGCTTGGGTAGGAAGGGACACTAAAAATCATCTCATTCCAACCCTCCTGCTGTGGGCAGGGACATCTTCCACTAACCCAGGTTACTCCAAGCCTTGTCTAACTTGGCCTGGAACACTTGGAGGGATGGTGCAGCCACAGCTTCTCTGAGCAACCTGTGCTAGGGCCTCACCACCCTCACAGGGAAGAATTTTTTTCTAATATCCAACCTAAACTCACTGTCTGTCATTTTGAAGCTATTCCCCTGTGTCCTGTCACTCTAGGCCCTTGCAAATAGTCCCTGTCCCTCTTTCTTGTCAGCCCTTTAAGGTACTGAAAGGTGAAAATTAGGTGACTTCTGAGCCTCCTCTTCTCCAGGCTGAACCATCCCAATTCTCTCATGCTTTCATTACAGGAAAGGTTCTCCATCCCTCAGATCCTCTTGGTGCCTCCTCAGGACTCTTCCAACAGCTCCATGTCCCTCCTGTGCTGGAGGCATAAAATACATAAGCATGCACATTGGAGGCTTTCGGGGTAGTCACGCTTCTGGCAGTCTTCAGCCTTTGAAAACAAAGGGTGAAGGGGAGCTTTCCATCCTCGAGGAAGGAAACAAGGCTGCATTCCTGGGGCAAGGACACCGAGTGTCCTTCCCCTGGGTAGCAAGCAGCATGGTTTGGGGGACTCAGCCTTCAGGTGGTGGTGTTGTTATTACAGTAAAAATGGCAAGTTGTTTGAGCAGCCCAGGGCCCTAATTCTGGTTCAAGTGAATTCACTGTGCTACAGAGATTCTCATGCTCCTGTGCCAGCAGCTGCCCATGCTCCCATCTCTGCTGAGAGGACCATGGCAGCATTTCCACTCCAGTACAGGAAGCATCAGTCCAGTTCACAACAGGTCTCTATTTGTTCAGCTGGTAAACTGCCAGCTAAAAGCAAGGGGAGAGGGTCCAGACCCTTCCCCACTGCAGGAAGCACAATTCTCCTCCTCTGCTGCCCCAGCATCTCTTTTATGCGTGCTAAGTAGTACCACAGCAGCAAGGGAAAATGTGCTCTTCAAATGTGGAGATAGGGTATTGTTTTTCACTTATCCTGGCTTTATGTAGATGGTCTGGCACATTTATTTATTCATTTATTTGAGCAAATTAAAGCAAGCTAAGCGCATTTGACCTCAGATGGTCCTGGTTTAAGTTAATTTGAGAGACAAAGCTCATAAAGTTCCAGTAAAACACATCAACAACTTCCCAGCATAGGTTGAAATGTGATTGTTGAAACATAACCTCCAAAACCAGATACAGCATGGAGATTTGAAGTCACAATAATCTGAAAAATATAGGAAAGCATATCGATAATACTGAGAAGTGATATCTTTCATTCATGCCTTTCTTACGTGGTCGATTGCTGTTTTATACAGAAGAAGCGCATCTATCAGATTTTGTGCATTAACATTCCTTTTCTAATCTGGCTTGGACATTTTATTTTAAAGCTGATGATAACCTTGGGCCCTGGTCCAGCAAACACTTACATGCTTGCGTATCTTTACTCACAGGAGTAATCTCACTGGAGTAAATGTTTGCAGGTTTGAGGCCTTGGCTATCTCAATCCATTATTTCTTTCCATTAAAAAGTAATCTGTGTGATTGAAATAAAACATACAATTCTTTACCCAGAAACCCACCCAAAGACAAAGCGTGTTTATTAGACTAAGGGTCTGCACATTGTCATCCTTGAATTGCACTTCAATAAAAAAGATAATTAACAAATGTAAAAGAAGACAGTTTCGTACATGCTGTATTTACAAGAGCTTGGTTTGGATCGTGGGCTGAAGGATTTACAGCTGGGGCTGAGGAGGGAGATGGATTAGCTGCACTGCTCTGGAAATCCTAAGCAGAGAATTTTTTAAATGCAGTTTATTGAGGAAGGGCGATGGCTCCTCCCAGCAGAAGAGGGGCTCTGCGGTGCCCCGTTTGTCCAGGCTGTGCAATGTCCGTGGGCTAAAGCAAAAACTAACCAGGCTGTTGTCTGTCACGCAGGTCACCGGCCTTTCCAGTGCAGATACTGCCCCTACAGTGCCTCTCAGAAGGGAAACCTGAAGACCCACGTGCTCTGTGTCCATCGCATGCCTTTTGACAACAGCCAGTACCCCGACCGCAGGTTCAAGCGCTCCAGAGTCGACTCCGAAGCTGCTGGGAATTTGGAGGAGCCGGCGGCTGCCAAGGCAGGCAGCTCGGCAGAGCTGGCCGAGGAGGGCACCAAGGCCCAGGAGTGATGCCCAGCGGGTCCACCCTGCTCTGCTGTAGCCTTTTATTCTGGCTTTGGACACGTGGTTGGTGAGGGCTGGCTTAATGAACCCCTTCAGAGGAAAGGGATGGCATGCCAGTTCCCAGAAGGGTCCAGAATGCTGAAAACATTCAGATACATGTATATGTACATGTACCCACACATCTACATATATATATGTATGTATTTAGAGACACAGAGATATCCAGTCATACCCACATTGAATATATATCTACATACACATACACACACAAAACACACACATTCCATACGTGTGTGTGTGTGTGTAAATATATATATTACACATGCAAAATAAATTTCCAGCCCTTGGAAATGGCTGCTAAACAGTTACCTGGCAACTAGTACTTCCAAACAATGTAGGTGGGATAATAAAGTGATTTAAAAATGTTAGGAGGTCGTTAGGTATTTAAAAAAGCAGGGCAATTTCAAACTTAAAAGTGGTCTTTGTCCAAAAATAATGCTCTTAACAGAAAAATGATACCCTCTAAACGATTTAGTGTTGCCTTGAAGATTGAGGGGCTGTGTTTTCATTGTTGAAAACACCTTTATAATATGACACCAGCTGCTGTCATTTGCCTAGCATAGTAATGAGATGTCTTGGTAGACTGCCATGGTGCCAGTCTGACTGGAGCTGTCATTGCAGAGAAAATCAATTCAAGTGGTGTTGCAAGTGCAGTGTAGGAGAAACCTTAGACGGCCCATAAGCTGGGGTCAGTACTGACCTATTTTGAAAAGTATTGTGATATTACATTTTCTTTTTTTTTTAAAATTTTTTTTTAATATACAGCCAAATGAATCAATGGTTAGAAAAAAAAATCTGCAGCCCAGTGTGTGGTTGCAGATTTGAAATGTAATTCCATTTTTTGTAATCATCTTGCAGTATTGAGGGAAATGCTTTTATTCTTTTTTTTTTTTTCCTTGTTGAAGAAGTTGCTATAAATGTAGAAGTACAATATATAGAAATATTGTTTAGTGAAACTAGTCAGCCTTATCTATAGAAGGTACTGGTGAGAAACAGAATTTTATTACATAGGAGGTTGGTAATCTTTTTCTTCTGTTCTTTACTTGTCTTATTGGGTTTTTTCCAAATTTCCTTTCAATTCCTTTTTTTTTTTTTTTTCCTTACACTTGAATGAAGGATTCCCTGGTCATGGTTAATTTTCATGTATTAGTTTTTGTAAGTGTTACAGACACAGTGCAGAAGTTTCTTCTGGAGCAAGCCCTTATAAAGTAGCTTGACCTAAAATATGAATCCAAGCTTTCTGCTCTTTGTCTCTAATGAAAAAAAAAATTGTTTTAGATGATATTTCTTTGGTTTTGTAAAACAAATGTGTTCTATATTTTTGCAGACTTTAGCTTTTTTACTGATTGGATGCTCCAAATTTAGTAAGGTCTTTGCCGCATAGGAAGCTTTTGAGAGAATATAATAAACCACATAAAAAAAGTAAGAAAAATAACTAAAGGTTTATTCTGAAATTCTCTGAATGGCATAAAATTTTATCCTTCTAATGTACTTCCTTTGATAGAAGAAAAATTGGTGCTGTTTATCGTGATGGTAGAGAAGTATTAACTTCTTCTAAAGCAAAATCATCCAGACTTAAAAAAAAAAAAAAGAAAAAAAGTAAAAAAAAAGTCAATATTTCTTTGCAGGCTGGGAGCACAGAGTAAAACCCCAGGGCCTTAAAACTTCAGCTCTGCCTAAAGCAGTTTACAAAAAATACTAAACTGCAATCAATGTAAATAAAATTCTTAGCGCTACCCTGAGACTGGAAAAAAAAATCTCAGGCTAATAAGGAATACGGTTTGCATATGCTGTCGGAAAGGATGTCATCCAACTGAAGTTTCAGTTTAAATGAGGTCACTGTGTAACTTGGACCCATCTGGCACAGAGCAAGCTGCTTTTCTTGTTTTTCTAGTATAGTTCTCACTGCCTTACTTAAATCGAGTTGATAAACTTAATGCAACTGTTTCTATGATCCTAGATAAAGGATTGAAATGTTATTGAACCTTTCTGACTGTAGTAAGCTTTAGGATTTTAACTGCACTACTGTGTTTGGTGACTGTGTCAGTCGCTTGCTTTGTGTGTTTGCGCCGCCTTCGGTATCTTAGCAAAAAAAAAAAAAAGAAAAAAAAAGAAAAAAAAAGAGAGAGAAAAAAAACAAAACCACCCCCCACATTCCATTTCTTGCACTTTTTTGAGCTCTTTCAGTATTCTTTTGTGTCTTCTGAGCATTTTCAGATACGACAGGCAATAATTCTGTTTGTGACACTGGAAACATCTCCCGCTCCTTGTGATGTGTGTGTTGATTCCATTTGGTCGGGTGCTACTGTCCCTATCCTCCCCTCTGACATAGCCCTTTTTTCCAGAACATTTGTAACTTGTAATACAAACAAGTGACAGCAGCAGTGATGCATTGTCAGTTTCTGAATATCATCATGCTTCTCATATCTAAACATGTCAAGTTTTTTCTCTGTAACTTCTGTAGTCTGTGATACTGGTCATAATACTGTCTACATTCCTACACAAAGAAAAATTTCTATCTTGGAGGAAATCTGAGATCAATAGAGTAGAGGATTTTGTTGCTATGCTTGTAACAATTAGAAAACTTTGTATTTAAAGTTTATTCTTGGTCATTATTTATTATTATAATACATCAGTTGACAGAACTTTATTCTGGTATAGAAGTATTAAAAGTTGTTTTTTCAGCAATGACTGTTTTCTTTCTGCTGTTAGAATAAAAATGTCTTTGAAGCAGTACAGTTTTATCCAGTGTTTTACGCAATAAAACCTCTACCTCTGAAAAAAAAGTTTTCCTACTTGCTTATGTTTATTAGGAACAGTTAAAACATTATTTTCTTCAGCTTTGTCAGATTTAAAAAGAAAAAAAAAATAATGCCAGTAAATTCACAGTTGTTAGGCAGTTACTGGAGTGTATTATGCTGGGTGTGTGTGTGCTCAGTCCACTTATTAATCTGAACAAATCTATATACAGTATATACAGATATATATTATATATATTGTGCTTAATTAAAAGACTGTGGAAATCTGTTTTAGCATGTAGTAATAATTGTTTTATATACTACTACTTATGTACTATAGAAAAAGTCTTGGGGTCTATCAAGCTTTGATTTGAAAGTGTTTGAAGTGTGTATCATACACTATGATGTATAAAGTCATGTTTTCACATTAAAAAAGATTGTTTGTATAGATCATATATTTGGCTTTAGAAAATTGTGAGGTTTATTGTTATGGTGCATGTTAAGAAAGCTGCTCACACTTCAAAGAATATACAAGAGCAAGAGTGCTCCATTCTCCTGGGTGAATCTTTATTCTTCCCCTTTAAGGTTTTATCTGCACATTTGAAAGCAAATAAATTAAAGGGTTTTTCACTTAGAAAAGTAAGGATGATTAACATCAAAAAAAAAGATGCACCAAATCTGAGAAACTACAGCAAGTATGGGGAGGAGAGAGTAATGTGGCCTTGCTCCAAGAAAAACTGAGAAAGCAAACATGTTTCAAAACCAGAAATTTTAATATTAAATTAAGCCAGTCATACCCACAATAATATAGTTATATCCTAGCTTGCATTCTCCAGAAGGAAAAGGTACAAAAATTGTCAGAAGGGTTAGGAATGAAAGCATAGAATCATAGAAATTCAGTTTTTCTGTAGCTGAAACTCACAGTGAGGAGGTGCTGTTACTGGTGAACTTGTGGAAAGTCTCTGCAGCCAGGGGAGTCACGGAGATGGTGCCAAATTCCCTGGTCCCTGGGCAAATGCCACAGATCTCTTCATCCACAGAGAATAAAATCTTCACTGCAATGCATCAAATTTTAATCAAAATCCAAGAAGTTAATGAAGTTTTTTTGTGTGTCACACCCTCTCTTGGGGGGAACAACCTTTCCTAGGCACAAAATGGCAGCAAGTAAAAATGTGTCTTGAGGAGAATGAGCTTCAGGCTCAGAGCTGAGCTCTGCCTCACAAAAGGATCATTGTCCTTTCAGGTAATTGCTGTGCCATGGATCCAGGGAAAAAGAACTGTCTGGGGACAGAGGATCTGGAGGTGTATCCCAAAAAATTTCCTGCCTTCTGGTTTCAGTAGGCAGTAAAGGAAATGTGAAAAACTGATTAAGGAGCAATGACCATCTCATTGCACCCTCATGGACATGCTTACAGTCTCCTTTATGGTCCTAGATTTCTGCTGGGAGCAGTGTCTTACACTGTCCATACAATCCTCTAAGAAATCTAAAAATGACCAGCTGTGGCCATGTACCACACATGGGGTTGCATCACCTGCGAAGGCAGGTGAGAAGAAGGTCTGAAAGAGGAAGGGGCTGTCTCACTGAGCTCTCTGGGGTTTTGTTACCCACAGCTGATGGGCAGCCTTCCTCACACAGATCCTGGGTGTCCTGAGTCTTCCCACCTAACATCAGAAGACTGCTCCCAGCTTTAAGATAACATTTCTTGTTGAAACTTTTATAAGGACTTTAAGCCCTCTGTCTATTGTAATTTGGGAATTGAATATTTCCCCTCTCTGTTTAACATCTGTATTGTAACAGTATATTATAGAAACCTCACCTTGTGTATTGTAAGCATGCTCCCAGTGAAATTATTCGTAACTATTGTGATTTCCATTTCTGGCTATCACTGCTTGGCGTGATCCACCACAGTATGTTTCCATTGGGATGCCCGGGGAGGAGGAGGAGGGAGAATAAAGCTGTGGTGTAATGTCATATTAGAAATGTCACCCAGCTGAGTGTTCCTAGGGGCTGTGAGAAGTTCCATGGCTCCTCACCTGTTGGTGTTTTTCAGGGTATTGTTTGGGGGCTTTTTGTTGTGGTATTTATTTTTTTAACCAAAGGTTCGCAGTGAATAGGGAAATTACAGGAAAAAGAAAATTTAAATGATCCCAGAGTGAACTGTTTTGCTGTTAATACAGAAATACAGAGCAAGACACATTTAATGGGCTCTATTTTTTATTATACTATGCTGAATAATTAAGTTTGAGGCTAAGTGTCACGTAGATTTATCTTTTAATTAAAAAAGCATGGTTCACGCGTATTTGAGTGGTAGTCCAAATAAATGCAATATAGAAATTTATGTTTGTTTATCTAGGTGTTAATTACCTAGAGATTGTTCTGGATTACTTCTTTTTATAAAGTGTCATAGGCTCATGTCACAAGTAATAAAGCTTAACAGTGGAACCTTATCAATTTGCTAACTATAACGCTAGTGTGACCTGGAGGAAAGGAAAAAAAAAACCAACTTCGGAAAATGTTCTCTGCATGCACCACATTCAACACATAAAAACCACGCAGTGAACAAAGCAATCATTTTTAAAACGTTCTCATAAGTAAAAGTACAAATATATCTTCAGTGTTTTACAGCCCTTCATATATGTAATTATTTATATAACACACTGTTATTTATGCCCGTGGACTACATGTTGTGCAGAGACAGACATGGTAAGCAACAAAATGTCCTTTACCTGGTGGGTAAGCTATTCATTTAATGTACAAACTAACACTTACAAAGACTGAACCCCATATTTAAAGCAAGATGTAGCAGATG